GGTTCTGTCGCGTAGCCGGTGTTGGCATCTGTCCATACGAGAAAGTCTTAAATCCCCGGCCGAAGGCCGGTCACCCAGTAAACACCATGCTATTTAAAAGGAGATTCTGTCATGTAGAAAGATTTTCCTTGTTTTTATAGGGTTCTAAGGCCCATATCTTTTGATCCACAACAGATACAGCCACATATCGCACCATTTTGGAAAGGGCAAATTGTGGTCTATAATTTTAGTCTGGGGGACTATAATGGACCCAAGTTCGACTTTTAGGGAGTTTTTCAAAAAAATCGGGGACCAAAACCCAGTTTTTTGACTATATGGTTTGAGATAACCATATCATATTACCACTCAATGGAAAGGTATTTTTATAACCTTTAAAATGATACCCATATTATATTAACCAGATCCGTAAACTGGATATAACCGGGTACCCGTACCCGAACTTCCGGGTCAAATAACCGGGTACGTCCCCCAAGAAAAAAGATATCCCCATAATAATGGAAAAAATACCTACCTCTGAAAAAAAATTTCAGAAAAATCTGATCGTTTTTACTAAACTAGAGTTAAACCGAAAAATCTTTCGCCAATGATAAAATATCACTATGTGCGTGAATTTGTTTACGAATTTTATTAACATTTGTTACTTCATCAGAAGAGGATAATAAAAATTAAATTGGTACACGAACGCGCTAAATAATTATATATTTGACAGCACACAAGCCACATATAACAATAGATGCAACTTATTTTTAACAGCAAAAAACCGGTGACAGAAATTAATATTTTTACACAATTTAATTCAGAATTTATAGAGAAATATATTGGTCCATAAGTTGGCCAAAAATTCCGACATGTTCATTCATATTTATTGTTTTTATAAAATTGCAAGCAAATTCCGCCAACAAAATGATGTGATGTATCTACTTAATAAACACACCACCACAGAAAATAAATGTTTTTGACATTTCGATTACCGGTTACTCTCGAAAAAATCGATAACTTTTTGTCAACAGTTCTGATCTGATGGTGTCATACAGTATGTATGATCGTATCGAAAGTCATTATGGAATAAAAATCACTCGATATCGAAACTCATAATTTGACACCTGATTTTTCACAATGGGTACAACTGTTTTTCTTTATTGGGCCGCCCTGTGAAATTTGAATTGTTTATTTTTTATTTTTGAAGTTTGCTAGTTTTCAGTAAATCAGTTTTTTAAAACGTAAGCATATTAATATAATTTCTAACTTAAAAATGGACAAATTAAAAGTGCTTGTAAATTAATGATTGTGTACAAACAAGTGGAAATCAGATCATTCATTTGTGATGCGCCTGTGAGATTATTTATTTTAGGTAAGCGAAAAAAACTGAAATTATTTTTATGCACTAACATCAGCAAACTACAATTTATTTAGGCGTGAAATCGCATTATGTAGTTGTACAAAATGCACCATCAGAGTTTCAAAGAAAAACTTGATGGTGATCATCACATTAGTGTTAATGTTGAATTGGAAAGGTTAAACCTCGATTGTGTATAAAACATTCAGAAAAAAAAACGGATTTTTTTGTTGTCTTGTATGAATCGACTTCGCCAGCGGTTCGATTTCGAGCTGTAAAATACGCTTTAGAGGGATTTTTAATGCATGGTGGTATTTTAGTAATCGGAAGTACTTGGCATTTACAATAGACCCGTTCAGTAATTATTTACAATAGATAAGTTTCAATAACTGGCAATTGTGAGCCTATACGAATAACACTCTAACAATATTTGCGAAAAATATGAAAAAAAAATAACTACGAAATGATGCAGTCATATCTTGATGCAAAATTCTTGAAAATATAAATATGCTTCATAATAATTTTTTATCTATCTATGCTTTATGGTCCTACCCAGATCACAAAAATTGTATTAATGATGAATTGTAAAAAAATTTAATTGTTTTTAATATGTTTATCATTTTAATGTGGGATATGTGTGGTAACCCAAAAAATTCTAGAGATGCAAGCATTTTTAGGTTTGAAAATTTGTAAGGGATTCTCTCTTATAGCAAAACCTCTCAATAGGGATTCTCTTTTATAGCTAAACCTCTCTATAGGGATTCCCTCTTATAGCTAAACCTCTCTATAGGGATTCTCCCTATAGGGATTCTCTCTATAGGGATTCTCTCTATAGCTAATAATAAAATAATAAATAAAAATAAAATGTATTTTGTTTTTGCAAAATAGTCAGGCTGAATCCCAGTTTGTTGTTTTTATAAAAAAACAACTATTTATTAGTGGGGAATGTATGGCATTGTTTGCCGAGGGGTAAGGCAGGGAAGACTATAGTTTCGGATCACGCCACTGATCCTCATCAGTTCCCTTAGTTTTTTGTTGGGATATTCTCCCCAGAAGCTATTGCTTCTATACAAAAAACCTTTCATACCCAAATGTCTCTTGTAACAAAGCGAAGTACTTAGCTGACCAACGACATAAACTGCATGAGAATTTCGCTGGAGCCTCACTTCGAGGTTAACAAGGCATTTACAAACAATACCACACCTTTCCCACTGTTGTGTGTTGTCACATCGCGACAAATGCACACAACGACTTTGTTGGTGTTGCTAGTATACAGCAACAAACCAAACAGTTCAACCGTGCCTGCGTCTACAACTTCAGTAGTGTTGGCGGTTTATTTGGGATACCATTTGTATTTTGTTTTTGCAAAATAGTCAGGCTGAATCCCAGTTTGTTGTTTTTATAAAAAAACAACTATTTATTAGTGGGGAATGTATGGCATTGTTTGCCGAGGGGTAAGGCAGGGAAGACTATAGTTTCGGATCACGCCACTGATCCTCATCAGTTCCCTTAGTTTTTTGTTGGGATATTCTCCCCAGAAGCTATTGCTTCTATACAAAAAACCTTTCATACCCAAATGTCTCTTGTAACAAAGCGAAGTACTTAGCTGACCAACGACATAAACTGCATGAGAATTTCGCTGGAGCCTCACTTCGAGGTTAACAAGGCATTTACAAACAATACCACACCTTTCCCACTGTTGTGTGTTGTCACATCGCGACAAATGCACACAACGACTTTGTTGGTGTTGCTAGTATACAGCAACAAACCAAACAGTTCAACCGTGCCTGCGTCTACAACTTCAGTAGTGTTGGCGGTTTATTTGGGATACCATTTGTATTTTGTTTTTGCAAAATAGTCAGGCTGAATCCCAGTTTGTTGTTTTTATAAAAAAAACAACTATTTATTAGTGGGGAATGTATGGCATTGTTTGCCGAGGGGTAAGGCAGGGAAGACTATAGTTTCGGATCACGCCACTGATCCTCATCAGTTCCCTTAGTTTTTTGTTGGGATATTCTCCCCAGAAGCTATTGCTTCTATACAAAAAACCTTTCATACCCAAATGTCTCTTGTAACAAAGCGAAGTACTTAGCTGACCAACGACATAAACTGCATGAGAATTTCGCTGGAGAGAATTTCGCTTTGTTACAAGAGACATTTGGGTATGAAAGGTTTTTTGTATAGAAGCAATAGCTTCTGGGGAGAATATCCCAACAAAAAACTAAGGGAACTGATGAGGATCAGTGGCGTGATCCGAAACTATAGTCTTCCCTGCCTTACCCCTCGGCAAACAATGCCATACATTCCCCACTAATAAATAGTTGTTTTTTTATAAAAACAACAAACTGGGATTCAGCCTGACTATTTTGCAAAAACAAAATACAAATGGTATCCCAAATAAACCGCCAACACTACTGAAGTTGTAGACGCAGGCACGGTTGAACTGTTTGGTTTGTTGCTGTATACTAGCAACACCAACAAAGTCGTTGTGTGCATTTGTCGCGATGTGACAACACACAACAGTGGGAAAGGTGTGGTATTGTTTGTAAATGCCTTGTTAACCTCGAAGTGAGGCTCCAGCGAAATTCTCATGCAGTTTATGTCGTTGGTCAGCTAAGTACTTCGCTTTGTTACAAGAGACATTTGGGTATGAAAGGTTTTTTGTATAGAAGCAATAGCTTCTGGGGAGAATATCCCAACAAAAAACTAAGGGAACTGATGAGGATCAGTGGCGTGATCCGAAACTATAGTCTTCCCTGCCTTACCCCTCGGCAAACAATGCCATACATTCCCCACTAATAAATAGTTGTTTTTTTATAAAAACAACAAACTGGGATTCAGCCTGACTATTTTGCAAAAACAAAATACAAATGGTATCCCAAATAAACCGCCAACACTACTAAAAATAAAATGTTTGTTTTGTGTTGAAACGTGAAAATTTTCAGATATGTTAATTTGTATGCAAACGCTGGCAAAAAAGGTCTGCTGCTTTTCATAATAATTAAAAACAATCTCAAATTAAAGATAATTTTTTGCTAGGCAAAATGTGAAACTGAGAAACGCAAATGTTTACAGTTGTTTTATTAGTTTAATTTTTTATACTTACTGATCTCCCAAATTTTATGAATAAAATAAATTTATTTGTTTAATATTTTAGTTCCGTTCCAGAACGTAAAATAATCTACTAATTTTACAAGTTTTGCAACATTTTACTCGAAAACCCTTCCTGAACCCATAAAACTGGTAAAACATTGAATCAAAATTTAAGAGAGCGTTGACGTTCTCTTTGTAAACTTTTTACTCGAGAAATTTGGCCGAGTAAAAATGGTAAACAGGAATGCCTACTTCTGATTGGCTGTTATGTTGATTTTAAAGTATTGCACTCTAATTTTGGCATATTTACTAGATATGCGTTCCCGAACTTTTCAAATTATTTTGTACTCTGAAAGCGATTTTGAAATGTTTCTCTTTTACTAGCTTTACTATTAAAAAAGTACTGGAACAGACCCTTTATGTCACAGAAACATATTTTCTTATAAGTCTAAAAGCCATAACCAACGCATTTTCTTGGTCACTACTAGTTCGCTATGACCGTGCTTGACTGTATAACTTAAATAGAACTGAACATAAAATGCTGATTTGAAATATATTTTTCTATACTTACCCCCATAAGGTGCCGGATACATTGGATATCCAAGACCTACATGTGTATGATGATGGGTATGAACATGCCTTTGAGGAGGTGGACTACGAGAATCAGGACCGCCACTACCGGTAGCATTGACAATTGTGCTGCTTGATACAACTGTAGAATTGTTGTTTGGCTGAGATTTCTGTGAATCGCTGTGTTGAATATTTCCCATACTAGGCCCACTACCTTGAGATTTTTGTCCCGAAATATCAACTTTATTTGAAGTGGGTGTTATTGTCTGTGATAAATTGTGTGGTAATTGTGATGAAGAAGTTGATTGAGCTGTATTAGAATGATGTCCACTTGTATTCGCGTTTATAGTAGAATGCTGTGTTGAACCAATGCTTGGACTAGAAACACTACATTTTACCGTGTTTGTTCCATTACTAGTATTGACATTATTAGGCGACTTTAAAGCTCTCTCACTGAGCTCGTGAATTTTGTGTGTAGTATAGTATTGGCTGGCAGCATGATGGAGAACGTCTAAAGCTTTAGCTCCAGTGTTTCTGGACAGGTCTTCTGGTGCATGATATCGGGGTATTGGTAAATGATAAGGAGTTGCATTATATGGCGAAGTTGGGGGCATCAAAACATTTCTATACATAGGATGATTCGGATCAAATCCGAATGGTGTGGGAGCCATGTACGATGGATGCAAAAAGTACTGCGATGTCGGAGGGGGCGGTGGGCCTTGAGTTTCCATTGTTGGTTTTTGTCCCTCCTGTTTTATAATTTTTACATCGTCATCTTGTTTTTGTTTTGGGGGAGATTCTTTTGCACCTGGCATATGTTTGTTAGCATTGGTACCCACACTGTTCGGCATATTCTGCTTAATTTTTATCTGCTGTTGCTGTGAAGCGGTGCTTACTTGAGCAGATGAAGGGTCATCCTTACATTGTGAGAGATTGCTTTGGCTACCACATCCTAAGTTTTGAGTATTCATATTAATACTAGGCGCTGTATTATTCTGTCGACGTTGTTGATCGGAAAATATATAATATCTATAAAATAATAACTATATGTTAAATAAATACAAAATAATGTCGAAATTGGTTTTTAAAAAATTATCCGAACACATGATCTAGGTTGCCTAGGTGACACATATACTCTATACTGGGACCAAATTAGAACCCTTCCCTACACATTTGTCTCTAATTAGGTTTTCGTTTGAAAAAAAAAAGAATACAAAAAATACTTCGACTTGAAATTTTACGTTTTATGCCTTTTTAGGACGAAAAATCATTCATGTAAATGATAGCTTTTTTTATTACAACTTCGATCATATAGCTCATCTCGAAAGAGTAATAAATTAAAATGTTATATTTTCACGGGCAACACACTCAAGACAACATACATGTTCATCGAATCTGTTTTAGTTCATAGCAAGGTTTATTCATAAGGTTAACAGGCAGGCGAACATGTCTTTTTCTCTTGCTGTCAACATTTTAATCGCGAAATACCAACAAGAACAGGATAAAGACTGAAAATATCTTTCAGGAAAACGTAAAAATATTTTTTGTTTATTTATTATTTAAATAATAAATTTGGCATTCAATGAAGACTACGAATTCGCCTCACTGTTAACCTTATGAATAAACCCATGGTACAATTATAAAAGGTAACAGCAAATCCCAGCTGATTTGATTCCAACGTAATACTAGTGTCAATATGAATTTGACAAATTATGTTTTTAAAAATCAACCAACAGGAAAATTGGGAACGCATACAATTTGAAATTGTTCTTTATTAAATGTGCTCCCGTATTCAATTTACTCAATCTGCCTGCTGGGAAAGTTTGAGGAAGCAAATCTTTCTTGAAGGAATTACTCGCTATTCCCAGCATTGTCATATGTGTTACACATATATATGACAATGGCTCAATTAAAGGAAAGATGTGGAAGCGATAGAAATATAAATTTGATAGATTTTCATTCATGTTTTTCAATTTTTATTTTGAGGATTCGAAAATATTCCATTTTCAAAATAAAAATAATTTGATGATAATTTGTTTGTTTGTTTACATTTTTCTGGCAAATGAGTTGACACTAGTAGAACTTACAACAACAAATTTCCATGTGGTTGTTGTATCGTTTTTTTGTACAACAACACTTGCTGTTACCTTTTATTATTATACCATGGAATAAACCTTGGTTCATAGCTTTCGGTATTTATTTTTTGATTAATGTGATTGAACTGAAAACAAAGGGACATGTTTTGTCATGTCCAAATACATATTAAACATTTATTCTAATTTGCAAAATTAAGTTAAAAACGAACAAATAATAATAAAAATATATAGAGATCATTCCATCAATAAGTGCAATAAGAAATATTGAATAAAACGGAATAATTAAAAGTTCCGAATAAGTTTATAGAACGTAGTGGAGTAACACAAACGTGCAACACAAGAACAAGAAATGAGTTAGCCATTAAATCGTGAAGAATTGGAATTTAAAGTTGGTTGCGCCTAGTAGAAGAACAAAAAACAACTCATTAACTACAAACACACGCAGAGAACAAATATAGTTGAACATTTTCACTACAATCACTCAATATTTGCAACAGTCATACAATTCTCTCCTCAAGCATGTTTTTATTTGTTTCAACCACATTATTATTTCTACAATAAAAATCTGATTAATATTTTGTCGGAACAATGTTGTTCAATAAAAAATCTGCAGTATGGTTACTTTGAAAAACCATATAATTATCAGAGAAAATACTTAATAGTTACAGACACAATACTTTTTTACATCAATAAAATATTTTATGAGTTTTATGCCTTTTTAGGGCGAAGTATCATTCATGTAAATGTTTTTATTAATTTCTCTTTAGAGATGAGCTACATGATCGAAGTTGCAATGAAAAGGAAAGCCACTACCACTATATTTCTCAAAACGAAATTTCGGTGCGGTTCCTTAATGGTCTTCGAAGAATTTTTTTTTTTTTGCATTTCCTAGTTGTCGGATGAATTCAATGGAGTACGTTCAAGTCTTGGAAGACAAATTATGGCCATTATGGGAAAGGATCAAAGATGAAAGACTCCTTTTTCAGCAGGACAACGCGTCAGTTCATAAAAGTCGCCATACTTTAGAATGGTTAAAATCAAAAAATATTCAAAGTATGAACTGGTCCGCATGTTCTTCCGACCAGAATGCGATCGAGAACGTAGGGGGAATCATGTCTATGCGGAAAACCGCCAATACCAAACTATTTATTACCTCAAAGAAGTAATTATTGATAAATGGCGGTCAATCGATGAAGATTTGCGAAAAAAATTGACAGACAGTATAATGGATAGAATTTTTGAACTTATTCAAAATAAAGGAGGACCTACCCATTATTTATTAAAGTTATTTTACTTTAATTACGTTTTTAAAAATAATTTTATCTAATTTTGTAAAAGTGCGTCTATAGTTATGCAACACCAATAAATTTAAGATTGCAGAATTGGGCGAAACCATAAAGAATAAATCAATTATTTTTGTTGAATTATATGTGTTTTTGGTCATTTTACTGTGTACAATAACTTAATGGGTCCATTTTATTTTATTTTTCAACTAATATACCAATTGAATTAAAGGTGCGTCTATAGTTATGACTCGTAGTGTATACACACACCGCTATACAGATTGTGTTTTAATCATAATCAATTTTTTATATGTCTTGAAGTAAGTCCTATATCAAGCCTTTTGGTTAACCCTTTCAGTGTCAAAAATTTTTTTCGTTGGAATAAAAATTTTTGACACTGAAAGGGTTAACCAAAAGGCTTGATATAGGACTTACTTCAACATCAATGTTAACGGTACATAGGATAACCGCATAACCACCGATAAAAATCGCAAAGAAAGAGAGAATTTTTAAATGTCGAATATATTCGACAAAAACAGTGAAAGGGTTAAAACAGTAAACAGGGTAATTTTAAGATTTCTTATGAAACCCTCATAAACTAATCAAATATAATATCGCGATCGAATTTAAAGACTAAAATTTGTATCTAACCCATGTACCAATCATTGTGTTAACACAACAATATATATATATATATATCATTACATTCGTACCTTCTTAATTCCTCTTCGCGTGACATCTGCTGAGCATTTAGTGTCATTGGATGCCTTTGGTATATATTCGAGTAGGATCCCATACCTTGCAAATCTTTATTATGCAAAGGTATCTGCGAAATTTGTGTTGAACTGGATGTTGCTGGATCCATCTTCAAATTTTCCGTTTTTGGAGTTCCTTCCGTTTTTAGACCCTTGTTTGGGGTATTCTAAAAAATATATTATTATAAACTCAAAATTAAGTATAGAATTTACCTGTTGTTGAAAGGTTTTAATATTTTCATTCGGACTGTTCATTTCCTTCCCTTTATCATCTTTGAATATAATAGAATTCTGTTGATCAGTTGGACTTAATATACCGGCGTGTCGGTTACTTTTGCCATCTTCAGACCCAATAGAAATGGGGCCATAGTTCTGATCGACATTAAAGGGATAGCCAGGTGACATGTAGCTGAAAATTTTATAAAAATTAAAAAATATATAAATTTTTTGAATATGTGTTTTGGATATTCTGTTAACTTTTTTTTAAGATCAAATAATTTATAAAGTATGAAATAAACACCTATACACCAAAGCTATGTTCGAATCTAACATTTAATAGAAACATATAGGTTTTATTGAGGGTTGCCAAATTACTTCTCCTCAACCATGTTCTGTGTGTGATTCTTTGTTATGTTGCGTAACACAACTCTTATTTTTGGGAATGCATTTATTTAATAAAAGTAATGCCTTAAAAATAATTGTTACACAATTGATGATAAGAATACTTCTTTACTCAAGCCGGTCAGAAAAGGAAGAGAGCGAGGATTATGAAATGTCTGCATATGTCAAACGATCGATTTTGCAGGGTTGCCATAATTCACTATATAACAGTTGCTCCCCCATTAGATAGTCTTTCAACTTCGTTGGATGATTTTTTTTCCTCTGTGGTCGACTTGATGTTTCCGATCGTTCACCCTGCGGTGTAGACACTTCGTCATTGGTTGTGACAGGAGGCTTTCCTGTAGCTGTATTGTTTGTTTCAATTTCGTTTCCTTCGTGTTCATTACCAATATTTGTTGCAGCAGCTGTCTGTAGTGTCATGTTTTGGTTAGTTGTTGTTGTTCTTGTTGGGCTGAATACTCGAGATCTCAACTGGTCTACATGCCTTGATTGTATATCGCCTCCTACCTGGTAGAAAGCAATACGTAAGTTGTAAAAATTGTTTTTCGAGTATGTTGTCTGTTAGTAGTGGTGTACTTCAAGGATCTGTTCTGGGCCCCTGTTATTCGTAATGTATGTTAATGATTTGTTCGGTTGTATTAATAGTAGGAATTGTTTGTCGTTTGCTTGTACTGATGATATACAAATATTGTTTAAAGGAGAAAATGTGTTCATGGATGTTTTGCAGTCTTCAATTGATTTTAATGTTAATGTGCTAGTCACGTGGTTATCGAATAATGGACTTTCAATAAATACTCAAAAAACTAAAACTATGATTTTTGGCCAAAAAACCAAGTTAATAATATAAATGTTTCCATCTATAGTGTCTCTATAGATGTTGTGTATGCTTTACTTAATTATTTTGCTTATTTATTTTACTTAATTATTTTTTATACACCCTACTGTGATTTAATGTTAAAATTTAAATTATTTATTTATTTATCCTATTGCTGGAATCATGTCATACATTTAAATTATTGTTGATGGTGTCTTGAAAACAATATAAGATCAAGAAACTTCCATCGACTATTCATTGTCACTGGTTGCTCTTTGAAGCAGGCTTTCGATCGGCTATCGTGTGTGGATGGGATCAAGTTTGGCAGTGCCTTCATGCAGAGGGGTGCTAAAGTAATAAACTGCTTGAAAAGGAAATCAAGAGTTTCCTGTTCAAGATCGTAAGAACTGTTGACGGCATTGGCGCACTCTGGGAAGGAGTCAACCTTGCTGCGATCTCCTGATCTGAGATTCCATCCAGACGGATCCTCTCAGCATGAAAATGTTAATGATGCCAACCTCACCACCTCGAGTTGGACTGTTGTCAGTCTAACTCCTTGTAACGAGGAAGGAGGGATGGGGAGGTTTATCTTAGGGAGCGTGAGGTAAAATTGAACTTCGCTTCGGAATGGGTTCCGTTTCGACTAAGCGCATCCCACAAAACTCAAAAAGAGTAGGGAAGCGCCAAAGGCTGAGCATCCTGCAGATTAATCTGCATCACAGCAAAGCCGCCGCCGCCGAACTACTCTTGTCCGTCACGAACTCTGAAGTGGACATCGCCTTGGTTCAGGAGCCATATATCATAAAAATATGGTTTCAGGAAAAAATATGCCAACTTTGACATATTCGCCGCGACCGAGGGGGACAATGTATAGTAGGTAAAGAGAATCTTACCTAATCTTTCTATCTAATTACAGTAACGGTGACATGTGCACAGCCAGGCTGGAGCATGCGACGGGGATGGCAACTCTGCTTTCCTCAGTCTACATGCCATACGAAGACCCGGACCCACCAAACCTAGGTGTACAAATTTAGAACAGCTGAGGAGCTTAATAGAGCCGTAAAACAATATTACTTACGTCCTTCTCCGCTGCCATAAAGAATCCTGTCCGCTAACATACCCTTGGAATCGCAGCCATTGTGGTGGAACAAGGAACTAGATGAGTTCAGGAAAGTGACCAGACGACTGTCCAACAGGGCGCATAAATCAAAACTAGACATTAGCTCTGTCTATTTACTCGATATTTGGTAACAATTGTTACCAAATGTTACTAAATGTCTGTTTACCCAAAAATCCAGTAAGAGAGAATCAAGTGAGAGAGCAAGTTTGACAGTTCAACAACAACAAACTTACTGGAGTTTACTGAAAGAATTTTATCCAGATAGGTTTTGCAAACTCAGCCATTTTGAGATCAGCTATTTTATTACCAAACACAAAAATTATTCAAAACATTTTTTTTAATTTGCAAAGTTCAATTTGAAGTTAAGTTGTATAAAAATTACAGAAAATTGAAAAAAAAAATCGTAAGTAATGCAAAGTTTCATTAAATTATAAATTAATTCCTTATAAAGGGCAATTTTAGTATTAAATGCAATACAAATAAGGACAATGTTTATTTTGGCGCAAATCAAATGTTTTCTCGAATCAGCTGTTTATTTGCTAAATCTTACTAAATTTTGTCTGTTTACTTTTCTCAGTATTATCGAACTTACTGAATAAATGTTACTGGAAAAGTAACAAGACTACTATAAAGCAACTTTCAACAAATACAAGAGTTAGATTAAGCGTGCCAAGAAAAAGTCTTGGATAAATTTCTGTGTGTCGATAGAAGGAGTCAACGACGCTGCTAGGTTTCGAAGATTACTATTCAAGAATCTGAAATCCATCGGGAGTATTAAGAAACAACATGGAGCGTGGACGGACTCTGGTTCTGAGACGCTTAATCTTCTAGCAGAGACCCATTTCTCAAAGATGTGGATACCATAAACATTGAATGTGATGACACTCAACCTCTTGCGACTATAGATTTGGATCTCATTGGCAAGGTTGTTAGCTGAAAAAAGATACGCTGGGTAGTCGACACATTCAATCCATATAAATCACCAGGGCCAGATGGTATCGCACGGGCGACCGTAAACCACTCACTTAAAAACGTTAGCATTCCTTAAACCCTTACTAGCTGGATAGATAAAATGCTAAATAGCAGAATTCTTAATTCAAATGTGGGTGATACGAATACGAACAAGAGGTACTCTTCAGAGCGGGGTGCTCTCGCCGTTGTAAGGCTATTGGTAATCAGAAATATACTGATGGAACTGGACGGAAAAGGTATCAAAGTCGTAGCCTATGCGGACGACGTGGTGATATTGATTTCCGGAAAATTTCCGTCAACAATCACGGAACTTATGAAAAGAGTCTTATCGACGCTGTCACGCTGGGCCAAGGCAAACGGCCTTGGAGTAAATCCAACAAAGACAGAACTGGTAATGTTCACTAGGAAACGTAAGCTTGGCGTATTTGCTCCACCAATACTGGATGGAGTACAGCTTCATCTGTCGCCCGAAGCAAAATACCTTGGAATAGGGACGCAGAGGAACGGGCGAAGAGAGTCCAGACTGAGGGCACTCTATGTATGCAAGAACTCCATCGGTTGTATAACACGGTGGTAAGGCCCATCCTTTCCTATGGTTCTCTTGTTTGGTGGCACTGCTTACTCCACAAGTCGACATTCAGCAAACTAGACAAGGTACAAGGAGCCGCCTCGATTCTAATAACTGGAGCCTCGAGAAGCACCCCACAAGCAGCTCTGAATGCTATATTGAACTTAAGGCCTCTGTGTCTCAGCATTAAGTGCCAGGCAGCGCGTAGTGCCCTAATGCTGCATGAACAAAATCTATGACGAAATTGTACCTACGGACATGGATGTATCTTGAACGAACTAGGTATGACAATGGACCAACGCGTAAAACTAGAGACGTAGTAAAACTGGAACCGTAGCAACCATCCTCGGGACGGTCTGGCTTTTTATACAGATGGATCCAAGATGGAAGAAGGTACTGGGGCTGGCGTCTACTGCGAAAGGCTAGGCTTTGAGCTTACCTACAAGCTGGATAGCAACTGTAGTGTTGTCCAAGCTGAAATCTTGGCTATTTGGAAGGCAGCGGAATTGATAAAAAGTCTGGATGTAGAGATTGTTGTGGATAGTCAGGCGGCTCTTAAAGTCATCAAACCTGCAACATCAAATCTGAAGTCGTCCTCGAATGTAGAGTAGTTTTGGAAACACTTACTTACAGCCGTCGTACACTGTGTCATAACGGGTAACTCAATCAAACCACAAATCTGTCAACTTTTTTAAAATGTTGATGCGTTCTTTTAGGATGTTTGATGCGTTCTTCGACGAACGAGCCAATGAACTCTGGTGCAACGAACCTGTTCAAAGCTGAAATCAGAGTAATGACAGGAGTCATTACTGGTCATGATGTTACTGACTACTGCAGACTCTGTGTTGACGAGGAGGAGACGGAGAAAATTGATCATATCCTGTGTCACTGCCCTGACCTGGCCTACAGACAGCACAGACTGGTGAATGTTGGTGAACGGAGAGATCTGTAATCTTTAAATTTAGACTTAAGATTATTATAGAAGAGCATTACTGAGGTAGTTTTGAAAGTTCGTACTTATGGGTACGAAAAATTTGGACATTGGTAAAGGGGTAGAACTGAAAGTTGCAACATAGATTACTCTCGGAGTGCATGATTGAGATAGTTTTGGAATATGGGTACAAAATCTGGTACAATTTGGTTTTTGGTGAGCAGATAGAGCTGGAATTCTTAATTTAAAAATTGTGGAAATGATATTAGATGTAACAATAGATGCAATTATGTGCAAATTTGGTTTCGTAGATTCAGTTCAGGAATTTTCTATGTTAAAGATGCACCTCGCACAGGTAGGCCGGTCGTCGATAATGTCGATAA